TTTAACATGCTGTTCATTCAAAACGGGAATTTTCTCAAGTATAAATTAATATTATAATATATTAGCATATTGTGTATAAATAGGCATAGGTTAGGTGAGGTGTTTAGGTTCTGTTGGCGATTATTTGTATTTGTAGTACGTGGGTGAAGCATTTATAGCGTTGTGATTCGAACAAAATTCGTCAGTGAAGCACTTGTTCCGGATATGTTCGAACGTCAGCAGTTGTGAGTCGTGTGTAAACCGCTTTTCATTCATAAACAGGGGGTTTGGCGGGTGCATGGAATCACTTTTGGATCTTTGTTTGGAGGACGGGCTGATAGAAGACAGCAATGCAATATTTAAAAGACGTTCGAGCGCAAGCAATTGAGTCGTGTGTAAAGCTTTTTTCATTCATAAACAGGAAGTTTGGCGAGTGGATTAACGAACATTTGGCCTTTGTTGATGAGGAATCTTTTATAGAGGTCGATCCGAAGAGAGAAAATAAACGAAGCATAGTTCAAGAGAAGTTCGACGTCATCACTTATGAGATGTGTTTAAATTGTTTCTCATTCATAAACAGGTTTGGTGGCTATTGTAAGTAAAGTAACTGTCAGGAGAATCCTAGTCATTATTTATGAGGACGGGCTGCAAATAAAAAGTTTAGTACGTGGGTGATGTTTTAGAGAGGTGCGCTCGAACACTAGAAGCGGGCAGAGCACTGTTCGAATTTTGTTTAATGTAATCAGTTGCGAATCATGCAGCACATCGTGTTGTGGTGATGGGCTGTTGGCCTATCAAGGTTGTAAGTACAACAACAACATTAATACTTGCCCAAGACACTTGGCTGGTTCATGGTTCAAGTTCGAAATTAGCTTTTTCCTAACCTGTATTTCTTGGTGTAGTAATCAAACTTGACTTTCCTGAATATTTTATCAGGCAAGGACAACACATTCATGCGACATATATCCAAACCGGTTTGAGTAGAGCAAAACAAAAAAAAGAGCTCATCGTAGAATAACTTGACTCTTTTAGGGGTCAAGGAAAGGTTTGTGAATAACAGACCCTTCGCTGTCTTCTTCAGAGGGGTTGAAAGTAACTCCTTTGGTGCCTTTGAGCTGGGTGCAGCTAATGGTAGAGGTCGTATCCCCATACTTTCCAAGGTTTTGATAAACATATTAATAATTTTGAGTCCATACTGCCTGGTGAAGTTGGCATCCGCATTTGATATTATATATATAATGGGCAACAAAAACGTTCACCAGACAGTGTGAAATATTGGTTGACAGCACCAGGTTGGGCTGCCGTTACCTGTGGCAGGTGGCTACAGGTAACCAATCTCCCAATCCTGAGCACATGTGTAAACTGTGCAAAATGAAAATGTGCTCATCGTATTGGCGTTTGCCTTTCCATTGGAGACTTTCGGCGCTGTGGAGAGGGCGGACCTACATGGGTAACAGCTTCTCCTCCATATCAACCTACCCTGGCTTTGCGCCCTGGAGAGGCCACTCTAGACCGACAACGAGAGCGCAATTCCATAGTCTCCTGAGACTGATAGATGCCTACTACTACTACTATTATATCCAGTCATTACATTAGATCCAGCCATTACATTAGAAGGTCAGGGGTGCCATAGGCACAATCAAAGAACGCTGTATGAACATCAGAGGTCCACGGTTGTTCAACATATTCCCAGCGAGCATAAGAAATATTACTGGACGAAACGTGGACATCTTCAAGGGAAAACTGGATAGTTTTCTTTAGGAAGTGCCGGACCAACCGGGCTGTGGTGGGCCTGCGCGCCGCTCCAAGCAACAGCCTGTTGGACCAAGCTCTCACAAGTTAAGCCTGGCCCCGGGGCGGGCTTGAGGAGAACTCCCAGAACCCCATCCAAGTACAATCCAGGTAAATGACCTGCCGGTTTGAGGTACCTGGCGCTCCAGAATAACTTCATTCTGGTGATGTTGAGGATAAACTCATAACCCATCCAAGTGTTGACAGTGTTGGCTCCCATACACACACATGACACACCAGTAGTTACCTCTTCACACAACCTCTGTAACCCTTCATGTGGTTCAGGATGGCCGCATTAATAAGGACATCCCTAACTGTGTTAAGAAACAACAAGAGGCGGAGGGCGGCTGGAAGCTGGGTGAGAGGTTCAGGGCTCCGTGTACACTTTGCATCATAACTACACAATAATATATAATTCCCCGCCTAAATATTTAACTAGGACATATGCTGCTACCGCGCGACCACAGAGACGCGTGGGCAATATGCTGTTATACCACACGGCGACTAGTGTGAAGGTCGAGAGTCTTGAAGCTCCGGGTGTTAGTAAGGCAGCACGGAGCGTGCAGACACAGAGCTGCCCGTAGGAGGCGCCTCATTCATCTTGACTAATTTGTCAGTGGTTTAATATAAACCCGTGTCCCAGCTGGCGTGACGGACGTGTGTGTGGTCACCTTGGTGTGCCTGCACGATCACACTCTAGCTCTTGGACCCCGCTTTTCTACCCGTTGGTTGTCAAATGCAATGACTGGCCTATTTCTCTATCATACCTGCTTCTAAAGTTATGAATGGAGTTAGCCTCTATACTCTGCTCCTTTAGGTCATTCCATTTACTCACTACTCTTACGCTAAAAGAAAACTTTCTAACATCTCCGTGACATATCTGAGTCTCAAGCTTCCATCCGCGTGCCCTTATTCTACTGTTATTCATTGTAATCACGTCCTCAGTTTCCACCTTGTCAATCCCTCTAAGTATTTTATACGCGCGCGCTCGTGTGTGTGTATACTCACCTATTTGTGCTTGCAGGAGTCGAGCTCTGGCTCTTTGGTCCCGCCTCTCAACTGTCAATCGACTGGTGTACAGATTCCTGAGCCTACTGGGCTCTATCATATCTACATTTGAAACTGTGTATGGAGTCAGCCTCCACCACATCACTGCCTAATGCATTCCATTTACTAACTACTCTGACACTGAAAAAGTTTTTTCTAATATCTCTGTGGCACATCTGGGTACTAAGTTTCCACCTGTGTCCCCTTGTTCGTGTTCCACTCGTGCTGAAGAGTTTGTCCACCTTGTCAATTCCCCTGAGAATTTTGTAGGTGGTTATCATGTCTCCCCTTACTCTTCTGTCTTCCAGGGACGTGAGTTTCAGCCCCTTTAGCCTTTCCTCGTAGCTCATACCTCTCAGTTCCGGAACGAGTCTGGTGCCATACCGCTGAATCTTCTCTAACTTTGTCTTGTGTTTAACTCAGTATGGACTCCAAGCTGGAGCTGCATATTCCAGGATTGGTCTGACATAAGTGGTATACGGAGTCCTGAACAATTCCTTACATGAGTTTCTAAAAGCAGTTCTTATGTTGGCCAGTCTAGCATATGCCGCTGATGATATCCTTTTGATGTGGGCCTCTGGGGACAGGTTAGAGAGAGAGAGAGAGAGAGAGAGAGAGAGAGAGAGAGAGAGAGAGAGAGAGAGAGAGAGAGAGAGAGAGAGAGAGAGAGAGAGAGAACAAGCGAGAGAGAGAGAGAGAGAGAGAGAGAGAGAGAGAGAGAGAGAGAGAGAGAGAGAGAGAGAGAGAGAGAGAGAGAGAGAGAGAGAGGGAGAGAGGGAGGGAGGGTGACAGACAGACAGACAGACAGACAGACAGACAGAGAGCATGGTTGCGTGCAGGCAAAGTGAACCACGTAGTTCATATAGCTCAAAGATGATGGTTCATTCTGTGTTACATAATACATTATAATTATCGCACCAATGCTTCACGACGTGTAACTAGGTCATACACAGCAACATTAATGCCGGGAATGTAGTGATGACTACGGGGATTGGCCCCAATTGTTGGCCCCGGACGTCGGCCGTGGTTGTGAACACGTGAAGCTGGTGTTAGTGCCTCAGGCAGTGGAGTAGGGCGTCACGTCACCTGGTGTAGCTGAACGTTGCACAGGCAGGTGTCAGGTGTTGTTGCTGGGTGTTGCACAGGCAGGTGTCAGGTGTTGTTGCTGGGTGTTGCACAGGCAGGTGTCAGGTGCTGTTACTGGGTGTTGCACAGGCAGATGTCAGGTGCTGTTGCTGGGTGTTTCACAGGTAGGTGTCTGTGTCCAACCCGTTCTCGCACTTTCGAATAGTCAGTATTGACTTATTAAATACGTGCATATGTGACATACTAATTTATTGTGAATATTTTAGTTTACCTTGAAAAGCTTCATAGAAAACACCGACCTTACCTAACCTTCTTAGTATGTTAAGATAAGCATCTTATTGCTTCGTAATTACAATTATTACTTAACCTATTATAGGTATTGGCTAAGTAATAATTGTAATTACGAAGAAATATGATGCTTATCTTAACATACTAAAAAGGTTAGGTAAGGTCGGTGTTTTCTATGAAACTTTTCAAGGTAAACTAAAATATTCATAACAAATTAGTATGTCACAAATGCACGTATTTAATAAGTCAAAATTGACTATACGAAAGTGCGAAAACGGGTTGCTGTGTCGTCTTGTCCTGAGGGTTATCATCTCCAGTGGCCTTCAATGGGACAGAAAGCCGGCGGATTGTCAAAGGCCTATTCCCCCCATCCCGGTCCATTATTCCTGAGGATGACTCACAATCGGGGATCCCGGGTTCGATTTCCTAACGGGACAAAATATGTTGGGCACTTTTCCTTTCACCCAATGCACCTGTTCATCTAGTAGTAAATAACAAAACGAATTATTTACCAAATTAACACAAACAGTACCCCCAAGCAAACACCTTAACAGAATTGGTTAAGTTAACTAATCCGATATAGGCAGGAGTTAACCGAACATAAGGTCAACTTCACCACCAGATACGTGGCCTTGTCCGCCATGTTGTTCGAAATTCAGAGTAACGGCGCTCGCGCATGCGCACCTAGACAAGAGTCGCGACTTTGACACGCATGTACATCCGACTACGAATTATTTCTACCATTTAAATAATAAGATTGCGTCAGACAGTGTGGGGATGTATTCAACGTTCCTTCCCTTCCTCCGCAGGGGCTGACAGTGGTGGGGACCTTCCTGCCGGGGTACCTGCCGGGGTGGCCGGTGGAGAACATGACTCTCTGGCTCTCCCTCGCCGAGGGCCTCCTCCTCCCGCTAGTCCTGGGCCTCGTCGACGCCACCTTCAGCGAGGCCGCCGGTTCCTCCTGCTCCAGGGACAAGCCACAACCACACAAGTATGACGGTCAGTATGCGCAGTGTTTATGTACGATAGTTTCTCAGGTAGGCCTAGTAACTCCATTGTCACAGAAGGAGGGTGATGGAGCCACAGGAGGAGGGTGATGGAGCCACAGGAGGAGGGTGATGGAGCCACAGGAGGAGGGTGATGGAGCCACAGGAGGAGGGTGATGGAGCCACAGGAGGAGGGTGATGGAGCCACAGGAGGAGGGTGATGGAGCCACAGGACTGGGGCAGAGTAAATTGGCCTCAGGCCGAACTTTAAAAATAGAAACACGCTTGTTTCACGTAGGAAGTGTACCTACTAAGGTACACTTTAGGAGCTAGAGAGGGAGCCTTGGAGGAGCCATAGAGGAGGGTGGGGTGAGAGGTGAGGGGGGGGGGGTCTAAGCCAGAACACGGGAGTGGCTCCTCCCCAGGGTGGGTCTAGGGGTGGAGAGTGCACGTCCGGGAGGTGTGGCTGGTATGTGCTCCACCCATATGTTATTTACCACGCTCAGGCTACAGGGTATGAACGTTCAGGTACACCCACGCTCAGGCTACAGGGTATGAACGTTCAGGTACACCCACGCTCAGGCTACAGGGTATGAACGTTCAGGTACACCCACGCTCAGGCTACAGGGTATGAACGTTCAGGTACACCCACGCTCAGGCTACAGGGTATGAACGCTCAGGTACACCCACGCTCAGGCTACAGGGTATGAACGCTCAGATACACCCACGCTCAGGCTACAGGGTATGAACGCTCAGATACACCCACGCTCAGGCTACAGGGTATGAACGCTCAGGTACACCCACGCTCAGGCTACTAGGTATGAACGCTCAGGTACACCCACGCTCAGGCTACAGGGTATGAACGCTCAGGTACACCCACGCTCAGGCTACTAGGTATGAACGCTCAGGTACACCCACACTCAGGCTACAGGGTATAAATACTCAGGTACACCCACACTCAGGCTACAGGGTATGAACGCTCAGGTACACCCACACTCAGGGCGTTCATACCCTGATCGTTCAACGTATGAACGCTCAGGTACACCCACACTCAGGCTACAGGGTATAAATACTCAGGTACACCCACACTCAGGCTACAGGGTATGAATACTCAGGTACACCCACACTCAGGGCGTTCATACCCTGACCGTTCAACGTATGAACGCTCAGGTACACCCACACTCAGGGCGTTCATACCCTGATCGTTCAACGTATGAACGCTCAGGTACACCCACACTCAGGCTACAAGGTATGAACGCTCAGGTACACCCACACTCAGGCTACAAGGTATGAACGCTCAGGTACACCCACGCACAATAAAACGTCACAAACCTCTCTCACTGTGCTGACATGCAGAGTTAAGACAGCAGTGTTGCTGCCTCTCCTCTGACTCCTAGATCTTCCAAGATTCGATCTTTCTCTCTTGTCAAATCCCACCAAACACACAACCTAACTACAACGTTATTTTTTACTTGTTATTTCATTACAACCTTTTGCTTCCGTCGTGTGTGTGATGGGACATGCAGTGCTACCTTGATACCTGAGCCATACATCACGGAAAAAGCTGTTTAGGGATGTAATATCACGTCCAGATGGGCGTGATTACCTCTTGAGGTATGGTTTTGTCTTTGCCGGTGGTGTTGCGAGCAGAGGGGGAACTTCCATAGGACAAAAGAACTTCACTAGGACACTAAACGGTCAATAGGACAATAACAATTTACTAGGACAGCTAGGCTTCGCTAGGACAATATGACCTGTTGCCAGAGCTGTGTGCAATGTCTTCTGTCCCTTCCTTCCGGGAACTCTGGGAACCCTTCAGTCCGTTACTTTCCTTTCGTCAGTCCGCACACACTCTCTTCCTGCCTGGGCTTCCGCTGGTTGTATTTGACCTGGTGATCCAGCAACACCTCTCATTATTGTCGCCCCGTGAGTGTGACTTGGCAAGGAAGGCGTCACACGGAGGGGCTACTGCTGTAGCTCCTCCACATCATCACCCACTACACCCCACTATCTGCCTTACATGCTGTTGTTGTTGTTTTAGATTTAACTACTCGGAACAAAAAGTTCCAAGTAGCACAAGCTATGGCGAGCCCGTAGTGGACTTACCTGGCGCAGGAGCGGGGCTGTAACTCTGGCCTTACGGGCTTCACATAGACCTTAAATATGTCAGGTAGACATCCACAGGGCAACTGGGACAATGTCTGGCTCTGACATCGTGACACAGTGAGTACCGAGGCTCTGGTTGGTACTCAGATGCACAACAGCCAACAGTCTTGGGGTCCAGATACGGTGCAGGTAAACTCCCACCTTTGTCATTCTTGTTACGCGTAGCGCTGGTCATAAGAGCAAGTTTTTGGTCGCAAGCTGCGGCCAAAACTAATTGTTAACCTGCAACTATAATTCCCGTTGTCAGGGACGAGAGTGGTTGATTGATGAAGATTAAGTCACCCAAGAGGTGACACGGGCATGAATAGCCCGTAAGTGGTAGATGTTTTGGAGTGAATGTGATCTTTGGTCGTGAAAGGATATACTGTGTGCTGAGCTCGCATTTAAATCGGCTGCTATCGCAGGGGAGGATACTGTTTGACAGTGTTTATGAGGGTGTCCAGCTGCTGGACACCTTTTATGACGAGAAGAGTGGCAGTGTTGATGGCTTCAGGGTGGTTACTGCAAGATTCAGGGACTCTTAAAGCTCTTCTAAGGTCGTTAGTTGCTTCACATTCCAGGAAATTGGGAAGTAGAAGTTTTTCTGTGATTGTTTCGCAGAAGATGCATGCCCAGTCTCTGAGTTCACCAATTTTCCAGTTGCATCTGTACGGGAAGCTTGCGCTTAGACTTATAGAGCTAATCTCCCCCCCCTCCCTACCAAGTGATCTATTGATCTTATCCAGGATGCAACGATTGATTGATTGATGAAGATGAAGCCACCCAAAAGGTGGCACGGGCATGAGTAGCCCGGTAGATTTTTTTTGGAGTGAATGTGATCTTTGGTCGATGATGCAACACGCCCGGGAACCTTTTGTACTCCTAGGTAAACAGAAACATCAGTTGGAAGGAAAAGTGCCCAACCGTTTCTGTTCCGCCCAGGGATTGAAGCCGGGTTCCTTGATAGGAAGGCCACTGTGATGCAGGACCATTTGACTGTTGCTGGAGGGCCACAGCACAGCGTGGAGAAGATGGCTACACTTCACTACGAGCGCTAAATAGTCCTAGCATAAAGTCAACCATGGATGAGCAGTCCATCCACTTGGACTGTGATATGATACTGCGGAATCCTCGTTTCTTGCCGTTTGGCGTTCGATCCCCGACGGTCCAAGAGGTTGGGCAGTTTTTCCTTGTAGTTACCTCTTGCTTCTATAATTCATTCATACTGTTGAAGTGTGAACTGATCTACCATGAAGTTCATTAACAGAACTTTTGTAGACTATTGTTTGGTTCATTGTTTAATTGATCTTATTACAGTGTACATCACGATATAATTTGTTAGTTCAGGATACCTCAACACTCCAACCCATGTCCAACTCTTTTTTTCTTCTGTCGACAAAATTGTATTAGTAATAATTGGTTTATTCAAGAGTTACCATTCAGGTAAAGTCAGGAAAATTCACATTAAAAAGTAAACATTTGTGATAGCGGAAAATATTTACTAGAAAAAAAATTCAGTAAAGTTTGATTATAGGAGAGAAAATGGTCGGTTTTTTTTCCACGTTTGAGCTCTAGGTCTATAGGATAGGCCTAGGAACACCCTAATTATAGCAGTCTTAGGCCGTCTTTGGAAGCCAAAGTTGAACAAGCTAGTTCAGGTTCCTGTGGTAACAACTTTGTCCAATTCTGAGTCTTGCATCTTCTACTCTGACCTTTTTACGGGAATTATTATTTTTTATTTTTTCCTGTTTATTTTTTCCTCAGCAAACTGTCCCTTGATAGACAGTTACTGCACTAATGTATGTTTATTGTTTCTTTATGTGACCCTGTTAATACTTTACCTTTGAAAACGCACATTAATGACACAGTAAAAAGACACCTCGAACACTGTTTATGTGGACAGACGTAAATCTGTATTTACGTCTGTATGTAGGTTAGATTATCATTTTAAAAGCACTCCAATCACCTTCTGTGTTTGATTGTTCAATAAATCACTGAACTACATGTTTAACAGATCTAACCCTGTCCATGGAGGACAGAAGAAAATGTATATATGGTGGTTAGCATTGTAAATGTGTGGCCACGTCTGTGGTTGAAAATAATAGTAATAAAATAATGTTTCGTTTACAGCTGTTTTTTCCGGTGTTCACTTCTTTAAATATCCACCATTTTATCCACTACTAACAAGTTTTCTTTGTGTTCAAGAGCTCAATAGCTGCATAACTGTTCACCATTCCGTCCAGTGTTCACTAATTAACTTATTATTCACCATTTCGTGCCAGCTATTCACATAAACCATGAGACCTCTTTGTAAACGAGTGATGTTGACTCAAGAGGGTAATTGTGTTGTGCTCTTACAGACGGCGATGGGCCCTTCCGCTTGTTCCCGAAGGAGGAGGTGAAGTCGTTTCCCTTGACGAACGGCTCCCTCTTCTCTTCGCTTCTCAACATGAACGTCGACAACCCCTCCCAGATCCTCCCCTCCTACAGACGAGGTCAGTCCCAAACTGGTTTATATCCAGCAAACAACGCAACAACATTGTGTATTGGCTGGCATTATGATTGGGCCGTGAACCGCGGCCGCTGGGAGAAGTGTGCGTTATGACAGTGGATGAGTTGAGGGATGGATGAGTCAAGGTGGTGAGCGAGGTGAGGGTGCAGTAAGTGTGGTGAATGCTGGTTGATGATGTGTTCGGTGAACGTTGAGTGTGTGGTGAGTGCGAGATGAGTACGAGCTTATGGTATGGTGAGTGGCCGAGTGCGTTACTAGTGGGTTATTAAGTGTGACGTGATAAAGAGTGCGTTACTATGCCTATCAACCTCTGGAGGATTATTAAGGCTATCAACCTCTGGAGGATTATTAAGGCTATCAACCTCTGGAGGATTATTAAGGCTATCAACCTCTGGAGGATTATTAAGGCTATCAACCTCTGGAGGGTTACTAAGGCCTATCAACCTCTGGAGGGTTATTAATGCCACCACAATCATTTGCTCGCCAACCAGCAAGAATGCTTTATTCCTAGACAATGTTCAGGATTAAAGTAAACTCAGTGTACATATATAAATTAGCTGGGTATACACAGGTGTGTATTCTCACTTCGTGGGACAGTGAGAGCCTTGGGGTGTAGTATAGGACTAACGGAGTATTGGTCATAACATATTGTTTTAACTTTAAGATGTAGATCATATCTAAGACTGCACTGATTCCTCACCTCCTAGCACCTCTTACCCTTCAAAAACCATTTGAAGGGTTTGAAAAAAACTACAATCCCATACAATCATCCCTCTTTCCTTTCCCCCTTCCACTTGCACCTATTTCAACACCCCACCCCACCCCCGTACACACAGACACACACACACCACTGAAGTCTGTGAATTTATGAAACCATTTTTTTGTTTTGGTTTATTGAAAGTCAAATGTGCAACTTTCTCATGACAACACCAGTATCGATCTCAGTGAGGTGAGGACCTGGCGCAGTGTTGTGGTCGTCGGAGTGCACACGGAGCCTGGGCGCCGGATTCATAAAGAAGTTATGCAACTACTTTCGAACCTGTAAATCTTTTTGCAATCTTTGGCGGCTTTGTTTACGTTTATTAAACAGTTTATGAGCTCATACGCACTAGGAGGCTATTTATAACAATAATACCATTTGAGTGTGACGTCTCGATGTTAGTAAACTGTTTAATAAATGTAAACAAAGCCTCCAAAGATTGCGAAAAGATGTACAGATTCGTGAATAGATGCATAAATGCTTGTTGAATCCTGACCCCTGTTGTAGAAAGTTGTAAAGTTTAACCTCGTGTCTGTCTATATATAGTCATGAACCCATGGGTTCTGATCTAAATATAGCCATAAACCGACATGGTCTCTTTGTACCAGTGAGCTATGGATATAAGCTTATATATTTTCTAACAGTATAACAGTAAATAATTCTATATTGCATAACAGTGGGAGATTTTCCACATCATTGGCTCTGAAGCCATTACTGTAGTTGTTATCTAATGGTTGAACCTGTCTGCGTTACCCAGGGGGCGGAGCAGGGATGAAGATGGGCGTATCGTCCCAAGAGATACGCGGCCTTGTTGGGACGGGCCCGCCGCCACGCATCAGGGATCCTTACGGCCCGCCCTACTTCCCTAGGGAACCCACAGAGTCCTTAGGGTCGGCCACAACCAGCAGTCAAGACCCCATCTACTCTGACCCTCTTTCTAAGGTACTTCGAATTTGTTTTTCTCAGTGTTCTCTTATATAGGTAGTGATGAACTATATAAAGGAGAGTAGACGGTAGATATTTTGAAACATTTTCGTAAAAAATGCACCTTTACATCACTATGAATGTTAAGCAGTGAACTCTGTCTCTGTTTTTATTCAGGTTGGAAGCGTCGACAGCTCTATGAAGGAGGACCACATTTATGCTACACTCTCAGAAACCTTTGGTTCCATGTCATCCCTAAGTGATGGGTACCTTGGCGACGACCAGCGCTGCTCCTCCGTCACCACTGTAGCCAACGATGACTTCGAGTTCCACGATCCTCGCGCCAGGGTGACGCCGGAACCCGTCCGCTACACGGCAGAGGGCAACACCGCCCTGGCAGACGCTTGCGCCATGACGGTCGCAAACCGTCCTCCGGCGAAGCTTCCGCCCGAAGCTCACCTTTCCGCCTCCGAGGACGTTTACCATCTCTCTACCAACACTGAATCCTCGACAACGTACTCCGTGGCATCCTCCTTCAGGTCCTCGTGTTCCCAGGTCACTGCTACTATTGAGAACAATGACGTCAATACCATTAAAGATGATAAAAAAGACGACAGTGAAAGTCCACAGGAAATTGGTTTTTACAACACTGGCTTTGAATGTGACACATTGGAATTAAAAAAAGAATATTTCCGAGACCGTGGGCCAGTAGACAGCTTGGATCTACGCTTGAGCAAAGAAAAAAAAGAGAAGGCAGGCGACGGAACACTGTCACGCAAGCATCGCTCGTCTTCTCTGTCGATGAATGATTTGGACCGCCTTGACCCTAACCCAGATAAGGAAGAGGAAATGATGTTCATTCTTCCTGTTAAGAGCGAGTCGATGCTGAGTCTATACCGTCTCTACCTGGCAGAGGACGAGGCGGGCACCAGCCTTCACTACTCCGTCGAGGTGTCACGATCTGAGGGCGACTTGTCGGTTCTTGCTGCTGTCGAGAACAGCGTCATCGGAGAGGGCAAGAGCGAGAGCGCTCTGCATGAAGTCTACCAGAAGCGCCGGACACCGGAGACCGCTGGGAGCCGCGTCAAACGTCAGCACAAGATCCAGCGTGCCAAGGGAATGCAGCAGCGGGCCAGGAGGACTCCAGCAGTCGTCTCCGCCTCCATCACTAGCCACGGCACCCCAACAACCAACAGCGGAAATGGCATGCAAGTGGCTGTCATGGACAAGATTCGTAGGAGAAACGGAATAATCACCATTCAGGACCCATCAGTGTTATCCGTAGAGGAGCTGTTCCGTGTCCTGGACCGGGCATCGTCCACGGCAGCCGTGCCGTACACAGACACGGGCGATCGTACTCACTCCCCACTCCCGGTTCCCGTAACCCGACCAGAGCCAGACTTCAAGAAAATATTTGTGAGTGAATACCTGTAATTATTGCATTCGAGACAAGTTAATAAGTGTACATTCTTGGATACAGACAAGTTCTCAACAGGAACAGTAGCAGACAAGGCCGAGTGGCACTGACACCGCGCAAATATTGAAACAAAATAACAAGTAATATATCAATGAAAATATTATATACTGACACGTTAAAAAAGTTTGTGAAAACATATTGTGTATAATTGATGCACAACGTTTGTGCTGTAATAAAAAGTGAGGAAATGTACGTAAAACGCTCATAAAGGTACTTACTCTTCATAAGTACAAACTGGAGGCGCCCAGCTTGTGGCACTGTAAACTGTCAGTGCACAACCTCAGTCCTGGCTGGTGAGGGCCACTGGCAGCCGTCCAAGCTAAACACTAAGGCCACACAAGACAATAACAAGAGTAACGTGTTATTATCATAAAACACTGGAGCATGGCACAGTGACCCCAGGGTCATGTAACACCAGAATACGGACATTGGTAGTCAGTTTGTTGTACCATTTGAGCCAACTAACCCCACCTACTAGCCTACCTTCTTGAAATCTCGCGTTCTCCAAATCTTAAAGTGCTCGTAAAATGTATATAAACTGCTGTATAGTTGCTCCTCTTTATAGCTATTAAGTTCTCAGATGTCCTTTTTTATGAAAATATTGCGTTCATGGTTATTTACGGCTCATAATGTGTTTATTATTATTATTATTATTATTATTATTATTATTATTACAATATTGGTAAGATGTGTACATATTATATTTGATTACAAGCTCTGTATCTTAATAAAGTTAATTGATACTGCATTAAGTAAATGATTCCTGGATTATACTCACTCTGATCCAGGTGCGTCAGGGGTCCACATGCTCCCTCCACTTGTCAGGGCCCCACATGCTCCCTCCAATTGTCTGGTGCCCATATGTTCCCTTCACTTGTCAGGGGGCCATATGTTCCCTCCACTTGATGCCAGTGATCTTACCCATTTTCACTCATACGAGGAAGGCTGTGAAATGTAGGGATTCTATTTTACTGATTTAAATATGATTCGAAACATTAGGTGAAGTCGATAGTAAATGTCAGAAGTCGAGCATCGTGTCGTGTGCTTCAGAGTCTGGGTCATCTTGCTACTTGAGCATTTCTTCTCGAGACGGTTCTTTAGTCCTGTACTTTTTTGTCATCTTGAATTGCATTTAAGCTAGTCCTTGAAACTATTGAAGCTCGGACTATCTCCTGATAGTGGCCATTATTCTGTGCCGATGGTGAGATCATTTTGTTCTAGTTTACGTCATGAAACTGTCCGGTGGGAGACGAAGTTGTTAGACGTGAACATAAGGCTACTTTGCACTTCTCAGACATTCATAATTTGGATCACCTAGACAAAGAATTATATGATAGAGAGGCTGTTTTAGTTTATATTTGACAGCCGAGACACCGTCTCCCTACAGGTCTCAAGGTCCGGGACCTTCATCAACTTCATCCTGGTAGGCAGACTTAACAGATCATGGATGCTTTCTCAGCAGTTGAGAGGACAACTCTTTCAGTAACGGCATGGAGGGAAACTCTCAGTCGTGGAGTGGAGGGAAACTCTCAGTCGTGGAGTGGAGGGAAACTCTCAGTCGTGGAGTGGAGGGAAACTCTCAGTCGTGGAGTAGAGGGAAACTCTCAGTCGTGGAGTGGAGGGACACACTGCACGTGGGATCATGAAGGAGACGTCACCGTCTCAGGAGTGTGTGCTGGGTGTCCTCACACCACACTACCGCATGTGCATGTGCGTTCAAATCACTGCATTTCAATATATTTGTTATCCTGTGAATTTTTCTAATTTTTATATATAACTTATTTACGATAAATGTTCCTTCGCATGTAATTCGATTTTTGTATGTGAACTTATATGTTAAACCACTGTACAAAATAAAATAAATTTTCAGGTATCTTTTGGTGTTTGATCCTTTGAGTAGGGTTAACAGTTGTTTAGCATTGTCATGCTTGGGCCTGGTCTTGGACTTCCTGAGAGCACACACTTGTGTTAGAGTGTTTGCCGCGTCAAACAATTTTCCTTGTGTGTGAACTTGATACCCATTCCCTTCATACCCATCTGTCCCTCTGTATGTTGGCCTTGTTCCCGGCCCGACCCTTCATTCCCTTCACAACCCTTCCTGCAACCTCCCCTCACAAGTATTATTATATATCTCGACTAGGGACAGAGATGAGTATTAGTAAACCATGAGTGATCTTGAGTAAGTGAAGGCGGAGGCTGGGCGAGGCGTGCTGGGCTGAGTGAGTTGTGGTTTCTCGAAGGTTCATCGTTTTGTCAGTTCTAATCTAACAACTTTTTGCTTAACTGTTTAGAGTCGAGTCTTATATCCCTTATATTTTTTGATTCTCATATCTTCCCCCCCCCCTCCCGGGGTAGGGACACCCCTGCATGAGAACACAAATGAGTGCTAAACCTCGCTTATACGCACACGGAGGCTAGAAATAACCTACGCTACTCTATTCTTCCGAGATGTATATTATCGTCTCAATTAACGTACTTGAACTTGGTCCACATGCGGGAAGACTTTGATGATGCCTAGTTGTGGTGTCTGGCTTCTACGCTCACCGTAAACAGGAAGTTCAACGCCTCTGAAATAATCACAACAACGAAGACTTTTGTTGTTTCTAAACATATCTCTGGTGGCAAGCTTGCATGCTCCTTTATGCTAGTTGTGTAAGTGCGCTCGTGTCCTGCGTCGCGAGCCAGCGCGGACTGCGCACTCAAAATATGTTTTACTGACAAAGCCAACTTATTTTTTTGTGTAATCGAGCGCCAACTAGATTCATGTTCAAGAAATTTAAAATATACTCATACTGGACCTAAATTTTGAAGTCAGACCCTTAGGCAACGTTGTAATGATTGTTTTGTTTTTTGTTTAACAAGTCATAAGTTTGAACTGTGAAGGCCAGATGCTGCTGTAGCGGCCGGTAGGTGCACAGGTAACAGCCGGCCGGCTAGGGAACCCTGCATGATCGTTTGGCTCTACCATCCGTCCTTCATCACTGTCTTACTAACAGCTCATTCACTGTAGGATAATGAAGGTATTGTCACTGGGTGAATAGGAGGGTCAAATGGCAGTGACAAAAATGGAAGTGACCTTGAGGGAGGGAGGAAGGTGAAGCAATTCCTGGTGAGATGAGTCCCTCCAGGCTGGTGGGTGTGGCCCTCCTCCCTCCCCCCCCCCTCTCTCCCCCCCCCTCTCCCTCCCGCCCCCCCCCCCTGCTCCTCGTCCTCCTCCTCCCAGTCACACCTCAATGCTAACCCAAGATGGAGTCCCTCGTAATGAGGTTGGAACACATGTCATTATCCACAAGTTCCCGAGGGAGGGGGCACGCGCGTGATACCCCCCCCCCCACCAGCCCAAGAAGGGGGGAGCAACACACACACACCTCGCGTGTGGGTGAGGAGGGCGCCTCGTGGCTGAGTGGACAGCGCGCGGGACTCATAATCCTGTGGCCCGTGTTCGATTCCCGGACTAGGCAGAAACAAATGGGCAGAATTTCTTTCACCCTGATGCGCCTGTTCAACTAGCAGTAAACATGCACCTGGGAGTTAGACAGCTGTTACGGGCTGCTTCCTGGGTGTCTAACAGCTGTATGGACAGAAAACAAAGGATGATAAAGGGGTATCAGGAAAGTAACAAGCGAGATTTCCAAAGGTATGGTCGTGGAACTGTTACTGTTAGCAATTCTAGCCTACCAATTCTCAGGAAGACTAGCCTACCCGAGGAAGCGAGCTTGTACATCTGTCAATGTTTGCAAACGACGCAAACAATTGCGTCGAACGCAAACCTAACAAGGGATATAAAAAACAATGAGAATTTGCGGAAATTTGTAGGAACACCTTGACAAGTGAAGAGTGGACAGACAAATGTCTGATAGAGTTCAACTCCAGCAAGTGCAAGGTTAAGTTGATGGGTAAGGAAGACAGAAGCCCAGTGTGAATCTATGCCATAAGGGGAAGGTAATATACGGCTGATAATATGAACAGTATATGGAAAATTAACAAAATTATATTCATTTAAAACCTAAATAAGATTCTTTCAAAGCAATTTAAACATGTTATGCGAGATTGAAATTATAACATTCAACATCAGCTTGGAATCCGCAACCTTGTGAAGCACAGAACTAAACTTGTAAGAGCTCAGAGGATTGCCAGAAGACTCGTAACTGACGGGGACTAAATTATAAAGTCAGGTTAAGGGAAATGAATATCAAAACTCTACAGGAGAAAAGGAATAGAGGGATCATGATCACATATAGAAAATACTTAGTGAAAGATAAAAAATGAACAAGGGCAGCCTTTTTAAGATGAGAGAAAATTAGACCAAAGGTCACGAGTTGACCTGGAAACGCAATTGAATCTATGAATCCTGAACTAGTGGTCAACAAGTGGAATGCACTGATAGCAGAAATTGTGTAATCTGCATCTACAAGACTAGATTCTATTCTCTAAAGTCAGTAAAGTTATAACCAAAACGCAGCTCGTATAACGAGGCCAGCAGGCGAAGAATGACGTGCTAGACATCGCTATCCTGTAGCGAGTGATAGGTAAGCACACCACACTACCTGGCCACCACAGTCACCAGCAGCATACCAATAACGCAACCACCGTCACGTCACCAGCATCACCGCCACCACCCTACAACTTCCAACACCACTACCAACACAAGTAGCACATCACCAGCATCACCACACCATATACCATCACCACACCATATACCATCACCACACCATATACCATCACCACACCATATACCATCACCATCGGCTCCACGCCACCTCCAACACCACTGCAGCACGTAACCTTGACTGGATCTCCCCACCCGGAAGAAAGTATGACCAGCTAGCCAGGGGCAAGCAAGAGAAAGCCGCGCCCGGCTCTTTTTGCTGCTATCATCCCAACATCGCAGGCAGCCAGCCGCCCCAGTTGGTGCCGAGCTCTGGAGTACACGCTTCGTGGACTTTTTTCCAGTGTTTTCACCCAGTATGCAACCACCAGGTCATCCCTCTTATCACACTCCACCGATCAAATACTGAATATATGTACACGTACGTACGTGTGTGTGTGTGTACTCACCTATTTCCTATTTGTACTCACCTATTTGTGCTTGCGGGGGTTGAGCTTTGGCTCCTTGGTCCCGCCTCTCAACTGTCAATCAACTGGTGTACAGGTTGTGTGAGTGAGTGAGAGAGAGAGAGAGAGAGAAGGGGGAGGGGGAGGCTAGGTATGAAGAGTCTTGTTAAAGGAAGAAAGCCAGAGTGCGTACATTGTCTTGCCCACTAAGCGCTCCACTTTCTCCCCGCCCGAGTACCGACCAGCCCCACACACTGCTACACTCGCCCTGCCCACATACCCAGCCCCTCTGCTCGTCCGCCTTCCCTTGCAGGACGGGTTTAGTGCCGCTGCTCCTGGCCAACACCCACACTAACGCCTACACCCTCACACTGGCACTTCCTATATACATACTCAACACGCACATACACCAGGACCTATAACAAGTACTGCAGACAGCCAGTGTTGTCCGTGCCTGATTTCTCTTCACCACAGGAAAGGCTGTTCTGTTGTGCACGTCCTAATGATGTTATTGTGCACTATCTGTGGCTGGTGTTGCACGCCGTCCGTGGCTATTGAATTATGCCAGTGGCATGATGGTATAATCATTATCATATATATTTGTATAATATTCTGTCACTGCTTGGCTTGTGTTTTATACGCGGCAGCAGTGTTCCTCGTCTGGGGTTGTTGTAGGTCTAACTCCTTCGACTCTCATACTAGTCACTATGACCAGGTGGTTTTTTGAGGCGGCGCTCGGGTTGAGGGGTTGGATCCACCTTCCTACCCAACATCCGGCCCTTGAAACACCCGACCCTATCCATCATCCGACCTTACCAAACTTCCAGCTCTACCAATATCCGGAACTCTTAGTATGCTAAGTATACTATCTTAAGTCCCAAATAACTAGTCAATTTTGGTAATAAGACGATGTTCTGAATTTTAAAAGGGAATGATCACGAGAAAGCACCAAACCATTACGACTATATATCGTAAGACTAAACATGGATAAATAAACTGAAATAAACTAGACTCAAAACAACTTAAAAATACAATATTTAAAAAATGTCCATAAAGAAAACACTTAAGTTTATTCATACGTTCTTAAAGTGTTCTCTTTAGTAGAGAACACTTGATACGATCAAGTAAGTTTATATCATACTACTTTCTTGTGCTTTACTAAGAAGATGGAGTAAAGTGTATTTTGTTTCTACATCGTAATCCACCATCCTGTGACCCGACACTAGACTCGCGTCTCGTCTCAAGATCAGCCAGCCTCCCGTGTTTAGGTCTATCCAATTTATCCTTCCGAATACATTTCTTAATCCTTTAAAATCGGCTTAATCGTAAATCTGGCATCCCAACAGTTTTCTCACATCTATTCTATGTTTCGTTACATCCCATTTCACCTGAGTCGCTCCTTATTTCCATGTTGTTTGTGTTAGATAACTCGGTCAAAAATATTATTTTCCCCTGTTGGCTGCTTGGTATGCTGTTTTAGGAAACAATCAACTAGTTCTAAAAAAATCTTCTGCTTGAACAATTAAACAGGTAAAGACATGCTCAAACACACACAAATTTACTTGCACAAGGCACTCACGGATCCACACATCACATATGCTGGCTCCCCTTTCACTATATCTTCAGCAGCCAAAACTAAACAAACAAAACTACAGCGAAATCAAAACAAAGCCCCGAGATGGTTTTTTAACGCTCACTGGAGAGATTTCTCCACCAGTGTGAGTCTCCGTGACGAAGCAAACATGCCAGTCATTATTGATATTGGATAATGTTAGTGGCCACATTGATAGACTTACAACACACCGCGAGAAGCCTATCAC